TAAAAAAACATTAAAGTGTCCACTACCTGTGAGGCTAACGTCCATTCTTACATCAGCATAAGAATTGCAAAAATGAACAGAGGAATCATATTTATTTACTGATTAAAGTTTCGTTAAAGGAAATGCACTGAGATGGTTTTCTAGTTTGGCCTTATAAAACTAGTAGAGAGAACATGGTTGACCATGAAGAATTCTAAAGGACCTTAACATACACACACACACACACACCATAAATAAAGAAATAAAGCAATCTATTTCTTTGGATTCTGAAAATTCATCATTTAAAGCCCAGTTTTCCTTCCTGGCTCTACTGGTAGCAACTTTTTCAACAGGGAGCCCCTCCAGTCCCTTCCTGTGAGGTCTCCAGTCCATCACAACACAAAATCAGGCCCAAGCTCCGGAGGTGCCTGCTGTGGTTCACTCTTCCTCAGCACTGATTTTCCTAATTGTGAAACCCAACAGTGCAGCTCAGCCCAAGGCTTCCAGAAGCTCAGAGGCAGGAGGAGGGAAAAACTGATCTGCTTCTGAACCATGTAGAGATCCTAGAAGTTGTCCCAGACCAATCACTTAAAAATACTTAAATGTCTTCCAGAAACACTGCGTACGAAACTGCCGCATTTAAATGCCACCAACACACAGCCCCTCCTGAGAATTCCAGCACTGTTATCTGCTTTATAATCTTCGTATTTAAAATACAATASAGGATCATCTTACCAGAAATACTTGTATTTGCACTTACTGCAAATCCAACACATGGACTTCACATCCAGTGCTACTCACATTGCTCCCACATGCATTTARATCCTCCACGAGAACCCCCACGTGCTCTCTATCAAACTCTTCTTTTTAATTAAAAATTGTACCTATATCCGACTACAAATTTCCAGCTACCTTCTGCAACTGAGGATCCCCAGGCTTTTTACAGAGCCTYTGAGGTGAAAGACAGAATCAGAGAAAATTCCCTTTGACATATAATTTTACCAGCCAGTCTCTCTCTCATTTGCTGATGATGCAACATAAAAAAGACTACATTCAAAAGAACTATGGGCAAAATAATTAATTCCTAGCTGTCTTGCAATTTAACCACTAGAAATAAGATGTGACTAGCAGCATGTAACCACTAATTCTCCACAATTACCAGCAAACCCTCCATACTTTAAGAAATTTCTGATTTAATGTAGCATGCTGTTCAAGACTAAGTCCAAATACAATAGACATAAAAAATAGCATTAGATCATCCTAGAAATCCCAAGAAGTCTATACTTCTTTTTACTATTACTTTTTCTATCTACACCACTTCACAGATATGGTTTAAGGCATTCCAGGCTGCTTTAGTGGTTCTCCATTTTGTGCTRAAATGAAGGGGGTATTTCAGAAACTTCAAGTATTTCTGCACACATAAAATTAATTTCCACACAAGATAATTTCTTATCTTCTATGGAAATGACTATTTCACTGTAGCAGTTGACATCAAAACAATAAGATGTCTTCCTGTTGCAAAGCACCATGTCAAATAAAAACCAGATTTAAGAGGCTGACCGTTCCCCATGTAGTTAAAAGCTTTAGGTAGCTGTAACACGTGACAAACTCAGGGAACTATCAATCCTTAATTTGGTGTGAAATTCACATCTAAAATCCAATCACAAGATTTTGTATTTACTGCCATGGTGATGGAAGTGCAAAGCGTTAAAGTGCTTTCACCTTTCAAAAGTAGTTAAGAGTTGCAGAAATGGCTGTTTTAGCAAAATCTTTACATCAGGATATCTAGCTCAAATCTGCTGCTATCAGAAACACACTGGCAGGTCAACAGTAATTTCAAGCACTATCTCTGAGCATGAAATTTGTAACCTGGAGGCAGAAGCTTCACATCAGACATAGTATTTCCAAAAGAAAAAGTCAGACGTACTTATGTGCATGAGTTACTTTCCACCAAATTGGAAATAAAATAAAATAAAATAAAATAAAATAAAATAAAATAAAATAAAATAAAATAAAATAAAATAAAATAAAATAAAATAAAATAAAATAAAATANTAAAATAAAATAAAATAAAATAAAATAAAATAAAATAAAATAAAATAAAATAAAATAAAATAAAATAAAATAAAATAAAATAAAATAAAATAAAAGCAGGAAAGGTCCTGCATTCAGCAAGGTGAGGTATCCGAAGACTAACTTTAAAGAAGTAGTTGAATTAAAGAAGTTAATTGTTGAATCAGGGGCAGAAAGTGCAGATGGAAACGAAGACTAGGCCTCCAGTGCACAGCATACAGCTCCATGAGTAGCTCAGACACAGAATCACTTTCCCATTTTAGCTGTCACACTTCGAATCACACTTTCCCTGCAAATTTAACAGAAATGGAAATGCAAAATTCATGTTTGTTAATATTTAAATGCATGATTCTGTGGGTTTAGGAGCTAACATGACAATAAATTATTCTGGTTTTCTTTATTTTCTATGCTGTTGGACATCTGTTTAACTTATGTTAAATAGGGTTTTTCTTCTATTTCTAAAGTAACTAGACCACCAGACACAGTATAACCTAAACAACTATATAAATAAAATTAAATAAAAAACACAATAAAACAGAGCTTTACTTTAATTGCTTGACCACATCATGTGTTTCCATTTCTACAATGCAGAGAAATGACAAACTCAACAGCAGGTTTTTAGCAGTGTATTAAGTCAAATATTATTAATATTTCACCAAGTGATGAGAAAGGTATTCTATTTAATTAAAGGATGCATTTTTCAACATGTTTCAGTAAGGAATTAGAAGAAAATTATTAACTCTATTTCATGGACTTCCATATGCTACATGTAGCATACAGATCAGTTATCTAAGCCAAAGCTTTCTCCTCTCCATGTGCCATGAGAAACTCTACTGTTTCAGAAYAAATACAGAATATAGCAGAAAGACGAGACTGGCTATATACTAAGTCATGCAGTACCACAGAATATCCTTTATGAGATGCAAGAGTTAATCTCTGTTTTTAATTACACCCAAGCAACTTCAATGAGAGTGAATACTGTAGCAACATCTATAAACAGCAGTGACTATTAGTTGAAGTGCAGTTATGAAACCCGTGCCAACATTGCTTGTATGTTTAAAAAAAAAAAAAAAAAACAAGATTTACAATCCTTGTAAAATTCCACTGCTTGGGATACTTGTATGGCCTTGCATAAAGTTAAATTTAGGCAAATTTTAAGAATGGAACATTTAGTAACCATGACAATAACAGGAAAAGCACTTTGGGCTTTTTCTTTCAGATAATACTACTTCCAAACAATAGTTGTTTTCCTCCAGATTACTTCTGTTTGTTGCTGTCTGGCAATCTAAGYCTACAATCCTTGTAAACCTGAAGCTTTTATCAAAGTGAATAGTAATTTGGGGTGCATGAGTCCTAACCTATATATCAGCATCCTCAGTGGTAGGAATGACTGCACTTGTTGAACAAATAGGAGTTATTCAATTGTTGCACRGAACAGGTGGAAAAAAATACTGCATTTCAAGATAACCAGTATGCAAGTAGATGAGGAATCTTAAATAATAATAGCAGAAAGGTAGAGCATACACAGGGTTCTTCCATGCCCACTGTTAAGGTAACTTAAAATTAGGTCCTGGAAAGACTGACTGCAAACTTTAAGAAAACACCATGGCACTCTTCTGCATTCTTTTTGCTTGGTTTTGTACAGAGTTGGGTTGTTAGAGCTTTTCTAAGTTATAAWATATGACTTCAGAAATCAATCTTTTTCCTCTACTGTTCCCATTAGAGMTGCTCACCAAACTAAGATAATGCCTTCAAAGAATGTAGGTACTTTGGATCTGAAGTCATTTTCAAAAGTGACTAAGGGGCTGATTTTCAAAGGCATTAAGATACCTAAAGATGCATTAAGCACTTAGAATTTTTTAAACTGTCTGGGCATCTAACGCCTATTTAAATCACTTAGTCCTTTCTGAAAATCCCAGTGGACAGTTATCTACATTTTATGTGCCTGCTTTATCTTTGAAAATCTGGCCCATTAAATACTTAGCAASCTCAGTCCCCCTGACTTGTAGTGAGACATAAGAGGCCTAAGAAGTGTAAGTATTTATGAAATTTGGTCAAGCCACTCTTGTGCTCTGTTCTTCTTATATCTGTTAAGGAGCAATAGAGTAAAGCTCCTCTTTAACAAGTCACTTCAAGGTGGTCGGACTTGCATAAAAGGGTGAACGTGCACAGTGTAACTACATAACAAAGGCCCCTAGTACAGGCTGCATCCTCACTAGGCTTTTGGAAACTACAAAAAAAAATTCAATCTGTAATGCCTGACAGTKTCCAGGATTCATTGTTTCAATAAGTGTGATCCAAAATGAGCTTAGAGGGAGCCCTTCCTCCCCTCCCCCCAAAAAAMCCCAAAAAACAAAAAAGCAAAAAACAAAACTGCATTAGCAAGCAAGTTGTGAAAATAATCCACACAGCAACAACAACAAAAACAAATCCAGAGAGAAACGAGGAAAGGAACTGGTGAACAGGCTCTTTAAGCAGCCAGCAGGATCAGAAAAGACAAGGCTTAATTCTGAAATTTCTTTTCAAAATACGAAACTATAAGACATTCCCTTATGCAAACATTCGAAAGATTATCTTCTGATCTCTTTTAATGTCAATGGGAGGTAACGTGCACTGACCRCATTCCCAAAAAGGAACCGATTTGTAAATTAGAAACACAGGGAATCAGATTGCCACCTACAGGAAAATTCAGCATTTATTGTCAAGAAAGACTTAAAAAGAACACAAATTGCCATCCTGCCACAAGCCTCTTTTCAGTTTTAGTTATTACATATTGCAAAACCAATTAGTATTTTATTTTTATGCAGCTATATCATGAACCAAATCCAGAAAGCCATTAACTTCTCCTTTTACTTAAAATTGCTCCATGAGCTAAGAATTTTGATAGTTCAGCTATAAAGCAGCAGATTGTAATCATGTTTCAGTTAACGAACTTTAAATCTGCTTACCTGATACAATTGGTGCTAGCCTGAATATGTCTGACAGTCTGCTGTTAACTGGTTCATAGGGGGAATCTTCAAGCAAATCATTTCCTAAAAGCAAAAAGATTTGGCGGTTGTTGGTTTTTTTAATACAAGAATTCAGGACAGGGTTTTGTTGTTTATACCTACTCTATAACAAAGTTACTCTCTAGCAGTAAAGGTGCTTGACTTCAATCTGCTTGTGTGGCTATTTCCCCTGAAAGCACAACTTAGGAAAACACCTGAAAGCAGCAAGTTGTTTATCCTTGTCACTATTTTGTCTCCTTCCTTCATGGATAAAGCCATAATGCACAGAGACAATTTCAGACATCTCAGGAACTGTCTCCACATGCCAGCAGGACAGAAACAGTATCAGGGACGTTCCAGTTCACACACTAATATCAGTACTCTTCCTCGGAAGGGCAGTCCAGGTAACAGCTGAAAGTCAACATCCTGGGGAACAAAACATTCCTAACAAAATTCTGGGGTGCGGGGAAGGAAAATGAATCTACGATGTACAAAAAAAGTGCCAGAAGTGTAAAAGCTGGAACAAAGAGGTATAGTAATTCATTAAAATGCTCCAATTAATGCCAGGATAAATGAGCAGAAAGGGCCACTATAAAAGCAGAAGCAACTACAGCAAAGAGTTAAAGGGGGAAGAGGAGGGGGGCCTGAAATGAAGGATTGCATCTTCAACTCCAGAGGTCTTAAACAGTGCAAAACATGGCCAGAATGATGTACCTCACACAAGGCCTTGACTGTTCTCAGCAGACGATGGGAAATTCAGCAATGACATCAATGAGAAACAAGTCAGTCATCACCATATCCTTTCTAACTCGCACTTCTGCATACTCTGGGGAGCACCACAACTTATTTTTTCTGTCTCTGGTGCCCCAGGAATGTTGCTGGCAAAGATGGGAAAAGAATAAACCTAGTAAGGCAACAATAGAGTTCCCCTCTATATTGCACTTAACTCATAGCAAAGAGCTAAGGAACTAGTTCAAGTGCCCTCTGATCTTGTTAGGTGAGTCCCACTGAAGGAGTTAAAACATTATTTAGGAGCATGTCTCCAAGTGTCTGCATTTTGGAGCTTCTGCACTTGTTAGAGCCCTGCTCTTTGCCTTTGGTTTGGAAAGGTCAGCTGGGTGCCTGGGAGGAAAACCTCCCCGTGGCTTTCCCAGGAGGAGACGCAGCAGCAGCTGTTCCCGAGCTGGATGAAAGCTCCTCAGTTCGCAGCTGAAAAGCACAGCGCGAGTTATGAGGTCAGACCCTCCGCTCGGGCTCTGCGGTGGTCGCTAGCCGGGAAACGCCGCCGCGTTCGGGTGGCGCAACGTCCCCGTGCTCTGCAACGTACCCTGCAAACTCTGGTACATGCTCCAGTAAATGCGCAGGCAGTTTTTCTCCTTCTTCATGCCCCTCTTGCAGCGGCAGTTGTACAGAGATTTCTGCTTGAGAGCTTCCATGGCGCTCCGGCACTCGTCCTTCGCCTCCAGGCCCGTCGCCCGGCTGAAGTTGCTCTCTTTGCCGGCTACACACTGCCTCAGCGTCCTGAATTTAGTACTACAGCTCTGCTCCTTGAGACACTGATCGCTGGCTCTCACGCAGTCGAGGCGATCCCCTCCGGGCAGCCCGCTCACCGCTGCGGACAGGAGCACATCTAGGGAGAGAAGAGRGCACAGACCAACACAGCTCCCTGTGAGGGGTGAAGCCGGTTCAGCCCGTGGGGCACCAGCTCCTCCGAGCCCAGCCCAGCCGGCAGCACCTTGCAGAGCGCTGGGCTTCGGGCTACACCTTGTGTGGCGCTTCCAGGGTCTCGCTCAGCGGAAGCCCCGGGGAACAGCACCCGTCTCAACCCCCCTGGCTGAATTAGAGCAAAATACAGGGAAAAAAAAACCTACAGAGACTGCCATGGCCAACAAAACAGCAGTCCCCACTCCTTGTGTCCACTTTGGGGAAGCAAATAACCTTCCCACTTGCGTGCTTAACAGAGGGATTAAATGCTCAGCCTCACTTTCTGTGAGTGCTTTCCGTAATCTCAATTACATCCACCAACAACCCGCTCGGGGGGATAAGTATCCTCCCTGATTGTTATTAGGCTCTTTTTGCGTCAGTCACTTCTTAATAGCAGCACCCGCTTTTGCTTATGTCACATACATCTCCAAGGGTGGAAACGGCTCCCCCSCTTTCCCCGTTGCTCTCCCCGTGCCCGGCTGTAGCCGGAGAACAAAGCGGGCTGCAGGGACCCGCTCCCGGCCACCGTGCCCCGGTGTTGCCCGCTCACATAGGTGGATGGGGAGGCACCCGAGCATCTCCCGTGGCAGGGAGACCGCCTTGGGCTGCAATTCCTGGCCAGGGCAGGTGGCCAGGCTCAGGTGACGGGGTCTCCTCCACTGTCACCCTCCCCGCGCCGTCTTATTCCATTGAAAGGAAAAGTTTCCCTCTAAGTTGCGGGAAGCTGGTTTAAAGAAGCTGCACAAGCATCTCTTTCTGTAGTCGCCCAGAGCTTGAAGCGCAGCCTGGGCTAAATGATGCGAGGCAGAGCCGTAAAAACTAGTGGAAACTTCACTGTTCTGCCCAAACAGGGAGGCAGGGAGCACGAGGAGCCCGCAGCCCGACACGCTGCTTCGGAAGCGACGCGCGGCGAGAAACCGGAGCCCGCAACTCACCCGCTAAGGGCAGCGCGAAGTAGAGGAGGGAGAGGAGCATCTTGCCGCCTTCGGATGGTCTCCCCAAACGAGCTGCAGAGAGGATCAGCATGTAGATATCCCCAGCCCGCCGGGGTGCGAAGGCTCCAAGTTCACATCCATTGAATCCCAGGCAATCCCTGTGGCTCGCTCCCCTCCTCGCCGCGCAGCCGGAGCGGAGCCGCCGCCGCTTCCCCTCGCACTTGAGCTCT